TCGTAACAACAAATGTATAATAAAAAATACCATCTGCAGGTAATATAAGACTGTCAGCAAAAATCTTAGAAATATATCCGGCAATTTTGTGAGTTAAATCTAAGGAAAACAGCCACCTTCCCTTCCGTCGGCCTACTTGACGTCGTTCAAACCTGCACCGTTTAATTTATCACTGGGACGCGACGCTTGTGCGTGAGATTTTACGGGCACTTTGTCTTATGACACGCACGGCTAATGCCTAAAACACGCCTTTTTCTATTTCTCTTTTTACTGAGTTTGGCTTGATTTACCGCTGAAGTCATGTACAAAAATGTTATTTATATAGAATAAAATGAGAATTTTGAGTCTTAGAAAAATGTGTGCTTTTCGGGTTACTCCATACTTATACTCGTATATTTGACGCAATTCTTTCGCTTTTTCAACTTTACGGCAACGGGCGTGCAGTAATGCCGGACCGTTATTGGTTAATTTTGAAAACACCTCCATATTGTTTTGATTTGATATAATAATAATAATAATAAAAACTTACAGATAAAACCATACACTTAAATAGAACAGACATAACCCTACAAGACCAGATTAGGAAAATCACATACCTTATAGATATTGCAGTCCCAAACACACATAATTTACAAAAAACAATATCCGAAAAAATAAGCAAGTATGCTGACCTGAAAGAAGAAGTGCTCAGACTATGGAAACAACATAACGTCTACATAGTCCCCATAGTCCTCTCCACGACTGGTATCATTCCAAACCATCTTCTCCATAGCTTAAAACAATTAGGTTTATCAGAATTCGTTTATATAAGTTTACAGAAAGCCTCGATATTAAACACATGTAGAATCGTCAGAAAATTCATGCAGTTAGATGACACCACACCAACATTATGTACACACCACATGCTGTATTTACTTGGTTTAGGCCCGTAAATACGGTGGAACCATACTTTTTTTTGTAAATACATACATATTATACATAGAAACACCCAGACAAATCAAACATTAAAAGCGGGAATTGAACCCGCGACCTTTGGAAGCAGTGTTACACAAACCACTACGCCATCCGGTCGTCGTATCATAATAGCGTTCTAAATAAATATGTTACTTTAAGTTAATATGTCATCAAATGTAAAATAAATTAAGTTTAGGTAAATCTAATTTTAATAATTCCAGAAGGAGACATTTTGTAGGGATTGTTTTAAATATATAATAAGTCGAGGTCGTTACTCCAAGTTAATGTTAAATGGCGTCATCTATATTGGGACTATATTGGGATACCTCTGGGATTGCCACGTATCTGCGGTCTCTGAAGGTTTCTTGATGATGATTAATGATATCTCCAGTTAAATTGCCCCTTGGTTTCTCTACTAAATAAGGATATCATTAAAATTTTACATGCCATGCGCATGTAAAATTTAATGATGATCTTGGTAATAGAAAAGGCATATTTTTCCTCAAGAAAAAAGTACTGTTTATAAGAGACAGAAAAAATACTTTTACTCTAGTGAAGCTGCAGGCAGCTTGTTATGTACAATGTGTTTAAAGTGATATGTTTGGTCTCACACAAATGTTAGTAATTATTATTTATTATAACAAGACATCTTACACACGGCCGTCAGATCACAAACTAGATAGAGCCTGTACTACAGTAACCAGACAACTGAGGAACATACTTGACTGCACGGATGGCGCAGTGGTTTAAGCGGTCGCCACGCTGCTTCCTACTGCGCCGAGTGTTGTGGGTTCAAACCCCACATGGGACTACACTTTGTGTGATCCACAAATTGTTGTTCTGAGTCTGGGTGTTCTTTGTTTCCGTTTCATGTGTGTTTGTAAAATCCCCCGCGACACAGGAATGTATTCCTAATGCGGGAGTGTCTTAATACTTATTTATTTCTAAATACATATATATTAACCTCCGCTTACTGTAGAGCTGTAAAAATCCATAAAGCTGTGTACGGTATTAATTGGAGGGTAGATTTAAAAATGTTATCATCATGTAAAAGTAAGTTTAAGCACTCGTTGTTCTGTATTCTGTAACTGTACCTTTTGTAAATAAATAAATAAACTACACTCTAAATAATAATTATAATAAAGAATAACAATATAACTAATTCTTCTCCATATATACAATGTTATGAGTGACACTAAAAATGAAAGTTTAACAAATGGTAACGTTATTTCCATACGTCGTCAACCTTTTCCCACCGGGTGAACTCTGTTCCGTTAGGTGTCCACTCCATGTAATTACAGCGCCGTGAATGTTAATGCGGACCTACCTTTATTTCTTTATCTTATGACCGAATGCGATCCATGTAACATATTTACTCTACCGTCGACTTTTAAAGAGATCGCTTAATCCTTGAAATGTACACTTTATATACATATATAAATATGTAAATATTTTGTGAACCTAAGCATGCAGGGATATTTTTACATGAGTTTGTAACGTTGAGCAATAGGAAGTACTCACTCCTCAGGCTTTTGAAGTGAGTGTCTTCAAAAGCCTGACCAAAGGCAAATTATTAAGATAATTCTGAATTAAGTAAAATTCTACTAACTTAAAATAATTGACAAACACTTTTTTTTTCAAACACGTTTGGATGTTAATAGTTTTGAGTACTTAAATAAACACATGTTAAAAAAAAACAGTACAATATTCACAGCAATGGAAGCCTAGGGACGTACCCACATTGTTATTAGAGCGGTAACCGAACCTGTTCGGATATAAAGTTACTGGCAATAATAACCAGCAGGCAAGCAATCAAATTACCGGCAGGGCGTGTGCCACCGGCCGGCTACCGGCAATAATCACTTTAACAAGTGACAGTGGCTACCCGTTACCAGTATATGCGATTACACCGGTCTTTTATACTTACACTTTTCTCTCTCTTATAATGTCTGACGGGAACATTTTAGGGTTAGTCGATGTATATGTGTGTTTTTTTGCAGTACTGTTATTTGATGGAATTTTACACTTTTGATACCTGTCAAATAAATACAACTCAAACGAATAAATTTAATACAAATAAATTGAATCCTGTACAAAAATTGAAATGTGAAAGATTGGCTTGGATGCAGAATAAGTTTTTTAAATTAGTTAAACTAGGACTATTTTGGTATAAGTTAATAATGTCACGGAATCGTTACAGTATATGTGGTGACCTTTCTACTTGACCTTAGGGATGCTTAGGGATGCTTTATGATCAAGAAACCTTTGTATTCTATTTACTATCTACTTCGTATTTACCCTCCCTCTCTGCGCGTAGCGTATCCCAACATCTGGTTTTCACGTGAACTAAATGAAATTACATGTTTCCACTAATTCAGTCAATTTGAATATTAAAACAGCACCGTAAATGTTTTTGCAAATTAACTGTTTGACCAATTTTTTTTTCATTTTCTTTGTGAAATGAAATGATCACATGATGTGAATCACACAAAGTGTTGTTCCATGTATGGATCGGACCCACAACACTCAGCGCAGCAGTAAGCGGCGAGGTGACCGCTTAAACCACTACGTCATCCGTGCAGTCAATTTAAATTATTGTTGCACACCTGTGGTTGGCGATTCATGACAATACACTGTAGGTACATACTTTGTGGTTGACATTAATTAAACATGGCTAACTTAACCTAATACTGTAAACCATAATGTATAATATTTAGTTTTGAAATGTTTAATTGTTCCTAATCATCACCGGTAAAACAATGTACAACATTTTATGTTTTTGAGATTAATTTAAAAATAAAAGTTGTAACTGTTACCCTTAGTAATTAAAAAAAAAGTGTGTGCGTGCAATTCACACACGGCAGAAGTGAAACTTTCGAATAATTTTTGTATCTAATAAAAACCCTATAATATTTTGCCCGGCCCGATAATTGAACCCACTAAGGCATCGGTTTTCAAATTACTAGTACTAGCTAGTATTAAATAAAAGATGAAAATATTCACACTGTCAAAATATTATACGAGTATTAAAAATAATGCGTAATGTATTCTATCTCATTCTCTCGCCGACTTAATCCTATACATTTATGTGTTTGTTTCTTTATCGTGACGCATTTTCGTTTCATCGAGTTTCAAATTACAACGATTCTAAAGAAGTTTCACTTCAAAAAAACGAACGTACCTATTTCGTACGTTAGTGTGTGGTATACTATATAACAAATGTGTGCGTGCCAACCAACCCCTGTTCTGTGCCGTACAAACCCCATGGTATTCAACAACTCTTGCATTTTATGATCGCCTAGTACCGCAACACCATAGGGGTAGAAATTCTTTTGTTAACTATTCGTGACGTAACCATAGTGTAACATCCCATGGCTTTAGAAAGAGATATTACTGGATGCTAGAAAGAGATAGCATTAAATTGCTAAGTGGTGACGGTACGCGGTTTTGTTCCGCACTGAGCAGAATATTTTTGATCGTACAAAAAATTTTCAGTATGTATAAATAGAGTCACCGAATCCAATATTTTCCAGTAACCAAATCATAATTTTAATATTTTTGGTTTGCTAAAATGATTTTTTATTCGTTTTCCAAGCTAAACTCGTTAGTTGTTAGCTATTTTTCATGTTCCTTGGTGACACCATTGTGAAGAACACAAAAGGCTCGGGTACCAGGCTCACAGAGACTATACAGAGATTGACCGATCGCACAAATTGAATGTCCGTCGAACACGATGGGGACAACATGCCATTGTCCGGGGGGCTTTTCAAGATACAGCCAATATTTCATCCGTTCACAATAGTTATATCGATGTAAAAAAGGAGGGAAAGCAAAGACTTAGTGACTATTCGCGAGCATTCAAGCATACTCCCTCCCACTTACTCAATAAGTTATAGCGTAACATACAATTTAATGAAATAACGAGTAACTGAAATTTCAATATCCTTCATCTGTGTAAGATTGAGAAATAGATATCTACTATGATTAATATAATATAATTAAAAAATATTATTATTTGTTTGCAGTTGGTGGGTGGCGAGTTCGATATGGAGCTGAATTTCGTCATCCAGGATGCTCAGAATATTCAACACATGCTGGAGTTACTGGATCACTGCCCACCCAGTTTACAGGTAATAAACAATGGAGGTATAAAACTGAATTAATATTATCTAGAATGCGAGCAGTAGATACGTCGCAATATCACAGAGTCGCGGCATTTCATAAATAGCTTGAAGAAAAAAAAGCGGAAAAAGGAATGCATTATTGTGTAAAAGTTTTTATGTAGTTTTGAGGGACCTTTTTTTTTGACTGACCTTTTTGTAAGAATTCCAAACCCGTATTCTCGCCTCTTTTAACGTATGCTCTCCTGGTGTTATATGGATCAAGTTTTGAACCGTCAGCTTTTTAACAACACTTGCCTCTACTCTTTACTTGTTATAAAGGTAGTTAAAAACAAACAATATTTAGTAAGTTATTAAAAATATACTTTCTCTTAAAAGCAACTTCTCGGTCCCATCGGAAAAACATATGTACAATAATTTTTATGTATTAGTTAAATAAATTGATTCGAGAGGAGAGAGAACATGTAAGTCCTTAGTTTAATAAGCGTCTTATGAGAAACTGCCATAGCAATTGCGAGACAAAACGGGTACGATTCTCAAGGCATCTTCCCCTCGGCGCGTGTTAGCGGGGTTTAATCTCCCCGCCTGGTCTACAATCCCGGTTACGTGAAATCATATTGAAAGGGGTAGCTTAAACCGAGTTTTGAAGAACTAATATTCTCACGATTTAAATACTTGTCAGGGCACGGCTTTACTAAATTAAAATGTTGTATAAGTACCTACGTGTAAAATTTTACACATTTTTATATTGTGTGTTAAATATTACACAATTTCGAAGACTCGAGAAATTAATAGAAACTTGGTTAAAGCTGAATCTATTACGAGAAAAAAACCCTCATCAATGAAGTGATAAATGTATCTTATAAATAAGACATACATAGAATAGCGAATGCGAATGAAATTTTACGTATTCCTTTATTAATATAAGGTGAAAAATGAACGATACATTTTATTACGGGTCATTAGTCAATTAGGATCACGCGATTAAGAAATCAATGATCTTAAGATATTTTCTATCCAAGAAATTAATCCTTTTGCCAAGATATTTTTTAATCTTTGCGTGTTCCTTTTAAAAAAATTGGAAGCAAAATAAGCTTAAATGTCTAAAAAAAAATCCATCTTATATCGAAATATTAGAAATCTCTTAAAATAATGAAAATTAAATCATTAAATTTCTAGTAAATATTATCATGGGGTGCCATCCTCAAAATGAAGTTTGGAGGTCAGCAGACGGTACACCTCTCGATCATGAGCGGCCTCCTTTAGTTGGCGAAATTGCCCGGTTATTAACTAATGAATAAATAGTAAACTGACTATACTTTCTACCGAACTATGATGGTATTCAATATACACACATAGTTTGGTAAAACATGGTGCCACCATCAAACAAACCAGTATCGTTCGTTTTGCTAATTCGTTTGCTAAAAAATTCATGCCATTCACGCCACTTCTACTGTATTTTTGCAAAGATTTCTACTGAATCGTCAATAAACATTCAGTTTGTCCCCAACACTCAAATCAGTTCCGTAACATATTAATATAATTCAAAACGTTTCACCACAAAAGAATACCATTAGGAAATGTTTGAAAAGTAAAAAAATGAACGTTTTTCACTCACCCTCCGCTGTACTTTGTTGTTTATCTATGTCAGCCGATTCTGGCTTCAATAGCATCCAATGCGTCTTTAATTAAAAAGGTGACCCACATTTGTAAAGAATGTATTTTAGAGACTTTCTAGGTAAAATAAATTTGCCATCCTATTAATGTGTAAAAAGGGTTACTTTTCTAAAAAACTCGCATGTCACTGCTCTTTATATTTAAATATGTGTTTATACTTCGCGTCAACATCTTATTTAAAATTTATATGTTCTCATTTACTTATACGAAATGTAATTTGTTCGGCACGACATCAAAAGAGTTTTATCACGAGAGGGTTGCTTACGAAATATTCTGGAAAACAATAATTTCGATCTAATGATATTTATTGTAAATTCTTTTTTAACGGAAATTCTGTAGTTGTTTATGTAAAAATTGTGTTTTTTTTTGGTATAGGAATCAGTTTAGCTTGTGTTGGGTTTAGGTTTAATTTGATTATATGTATGGAAATGCTCTTGAAATTACAATTGTTTGTAAACCAATCATCAAATCACATCACATCACATTAACAGCAGTCCACTGCTGGACATAGGCCTCTCCTTAGCAAGGAGGTTTTGGCCTACTATACTACGCGGGCCATACGGGTTGGTATAGGGTTTATTTCAACAGAGGTAGGGGCGGCTGTTCTACGGATCCGTTCCAAGAACACCGCCCCTGGGCCAGACGGGGTACCGGCCCGAGTGCTGGCCCTAGCCCTCAACCACATGGCAGACCGCCTCGGGGAGGTGTTCGACGCCAGCTTGGCGTCGGGACGTTTCCCTGAGTGCTGGAAGAGCGGGAAGCTGGTCCTATTAAGGAAGCCGGGGCGGCCTGCCGATTCGGTCGCGGCCTACAGGCCCATCGTGCTGCTGGACGAGGCGGGTAAATTGTTTGAGAGGGTTCTCTCTGCCCGCATCGTCCGGCACCTCTACGAGGTTTTCGGGCGGGGCGTTCGACAGTCGACGCTGTTTTGCATCAGGGAAGCACTCCACTATCATGGGGTGCCAAAGTACCTGAGGCGGCTAGTGGCAGACTATTAAGAGGAGCGTACCGTCGTGTACGAGGACCGAGATGGTAATTTGAGGTGTCGGCCCATGTCGTGCGGTGATCCACAGGGGTCTGTTCTTGGACCCCTCTTGTGGAACATAGGGTACGACTGGGCCCTTCGAGCCGATTTCCCCCCCGGGCTGGGTGTAATTTGTTACGCAGATGACACTCTGGTGACACTCTGGTGACAGCCCGGGGGTCGAACTTCCAAAAGGCGGCGCGCCTGGCCATAAGGGGAGTCTCCCTGGTGGTTGGGCGCATTGAGGCGCTGGGCCCTTGCTTCACCGCCGTGGAGGCTCTCCAGCCGGTCATCGCCGAGTGGGCAGGGCGGCAGCACGGGACCTTTACCTTCCGACTGACGCAGGTGCTTTCCGGGCACGGTTGCTTCGGAAAGTACCTGCACTCGGTCGCTAGGAGGGAACTGAGTCCCGCCTGCCACCACTGCGACTGCAGTGAGGACTCGGCCCAGCACACGCTGGCGGTCTGCCCCGCATGGGCGACGCAGCGCCGGACCCTCACTGCAGTCATCGGAGTAGATCTCTCGCTACCGGCCGTAGTACGCTCCATGGCCGGTAGCGACAGTTGCTTTACCGCGGTCGCAACCTTCTGCGAGGAAGTAATCTCGCAGAAGGAGGCGGCGGAGAAGGCCCGGGAGGACGACCTCCACTCGGACCCGATCCGCCGCCGGCGAACCGGGCGGCGGAGGCGCGCTTATCACCGCCTCATGCCGCCCTGAGTATGGCCGCGGGTGGATGGGGTGGGTTTCCCCTCATTAGTTTGGCCAGCCGCGAGGGGGCGGCGTCCGCGTGTGCCGGACGTCGCCTAAAGAGAGGAAAATTTTGAGACGGAGCTCGCAACAGGAGCGGGCCGGCGCTAGGAGGGGTCCGGATGTCTTAATAACAGCTGTTCCCGGATCCCTCCTATTGCAGGCGCAGAGTGGCACACCGTGTGGTTTTAGTCGGTTCGAGTCCGACACACCACCCCGCCGCAAACCCCGGTGGGGTGACGGTCCGAGGGGATTTCCACACGTTAAAAAAAAAAAAAGGTTTGATTTTAAGTTTTCCTTTTCTCTGCAGTGCTGTTGTCCTGCATAATTTGCTTCTTTAGGCGCCTCTTACGACACCCACGAGATGAATAGGGGTTGACCAATAATCAAATATAATAATAATTTAAAAAGTTTTTTCAATAATTGTCTCTCAGATCAAAACTATTTCTGATATAATTAAAAATGTGTAAATTAAACTCAAAAACTGAATGTTAAATGTACGACGGGAGTCTACCAAAAGATCCTGCGGCACCGATGACTTATTATAATGATGGATACTGGTTCAGTTCTACCTTAGAGATGTTTTCTCCAAAATAGACCTACACCAGAAGTAATCGTTGCATCTTCCGACCTACTATGAAGAGATGGCGGTGGTAGATATCCCACCAGTTAAATGAGTTTTTTTCTACACATCGCACAGGAAAACAGCAAGAGTTAAAATACCATTTTCCATTTTTTTCTCTCTACTAAATTTAAAATTTCTTTGTATAAATATGTGTAGAAAAAATGCCATTGACTAACCCTGTGAAAAACAGAAAAGAATTTTTTCAACCTTATATGACATGCTACTTGTACGTGTAACAGAAAAATGAAAAATATTACACTTTAATATGAAAATTTAATACTGGTTCTCTGTACACCAGGCTCTCAGACGTGTAAAGGGTTATTTTTCCGTACACTGACTAATTAAGTGTTACATCACATGTATAAAAAAAGTACATACTAGAGACAGGATCTCAGTAAGACCTGACGGCTCCTGCTATGAGTGGCGGATCGTTCCCACCGCTCATATGTGATGACGAAAACCAAGTGTTTGGAATCCGTCGACTCATATTATGAGATGTTTTTCTTCCCAGACGTGTGACAGCCACGACACGCCATGTCAGCGAATAGTTTTTAGCCTGCCTCTTATACTCCACGACGATTTTATTAGCCTTCGTATTAGACTTTTTGTACCAGTCATGTTTGAAAATTAATAGCTTTAGGCAATGTCGATAAATTGTTGTTTTATTAAACGATGTTTTCAGTTCGCTCATTAATTTATTAAAGTGGTCTCACGTTGTTCTATTGGATTTTGTTACTTCTTTTGTATTTGTTGACTTGTTGTGAGTATAAAGCAAAGTTTTGATGAAGCGTGTAGTTAGTTACACCAAATAAACAGAGTATCATTCTTTACATATATCACTTATTTGGCGTGTCTGAAGTATGTCGCTTGAAGAAAGTAAAAGTTTCAGAGCTGAATGTTCATTATATCGTAAATAGAAGTTTATTTTGCTTTCAAATAATACATTTTGTTGTGTATACTTAACTGATACCTCTCTCGTTGATGATAACAAGCATAGCTTAAGCACTTGTATACCAAAGTTAATTGTTTTAAAACAAAAAGGGAAAAGATTTCTCACACGTATCATTTTCAAACAGCCTAAAAGGGCTTTATAAAATTAATGCGTACTTTGTTAAAGATCTTTGTTAGGCAAGTAATTGTAGAAATAACTTTGTGTCGAGTAGGTAGTATTTATTTAACGTACTTAAGAGTTTTAGACGTAAGGGGTTGGGACTAATTACATGTTTACATTTAGTTTATCTTAATCTTATTAATAATTAAACAACAAAAAATTGTTTAGTAAGGCAGTGCAAGGAAAGGTTGTGCAAAAAAACGAATGCATGCAGCTACTATAGTTTGGAACGATAATTTTTCACAGAATCTAAATATATTTTATAGAGTTTTCTAGAGTGAGTTTGGAATCGATAGGTTAAAAAAGTGGTTCCCATGCATACTTGAACCTCTTTTTATTAAGATTAGTTTTGAAAAATTTGTAACAACGTTTTTTATTACTTTTAATATAAAGTACTTACTGTGAGTTTGAAAATGCTATGAAAATATGGTTTGAACATTAATATATGAATGAATGAATGAACATGTACTAACACAAGTTTCATTACGCTATTTTTAATATTTTTTCCCATTAAAACATCCCACTGGCATGATTATTTTAACTTATTGGTTATAAAAGTCCGTCTCTCGTCATCTAATATTAAAAACAGGGCAAGTGCTTGTCGGCTAACTACACTTAAGTAATTTGCCAAGTAATTTCTAACGAAATTTTGCTTTTTACTTTGCCAAGTATATTAGTGAACCTCGTCGATTATTACCTACTCGTTAATTATTACCTACTCGTTAATTATTACCTACTCGTTAATTTGTAAAGCCTAATTAGTTTTAATAGTTTTCTTGTAATTTCATTATGTATACTACCCCTTAATATACTTGAATACTTTGAATGTTTATGTATATTCACACAGCCTTGATTAATTTCTTGAATATTCTTGATTTGAGCCATGCGTCGGTACGACTTAAGTGATACCACCGCCTCACAGAGAACCGGTGCTAAGCTATTCTTTCGTTGCCTTTCACTGAGTGAGAGGTTACCGGAGCCCAAATCCCCCCTCCGGCTGACTCGAGCGGGACTCACGCACTTGTGATTTTTGAGTTGCAGGTGTCCATGGGCGGCGGTAGTTGCTTACTATCAGGTGACCCGTCTGCTCGTTTGCCTCCTTCATACCATTAAAAAGCCTTGCCTTGATGTATAATTAGAATTTTTGTTTTCAACATCACGCTATTTTTTAATATAACATGAAATTATACATTGTGCAGTACAATGTGTTTTGATTATTCAAAATAGTTAAGAAAAAACTATGTACACAAGTAATTCAGAAGAATTCACATTTAAAGTAAGGTAATCACTTTAAAGAAAATAACATATTTTTTTTATGAGACTATACAAAATGAGTTTTCAATGCGTGTCGGTTGGTATAGATGAAAAAATATTCAACTAAAAAGGGTTATATTTCCAGTATTGTCAGAGTTAAAATTAAATGAAAAACCCTAATGGTCCTAATTCGAGTTTTATTTTACATGTAACTACTATTATATGATATTATCATTCATTAAGGAAAAAAAATGATGAAGAATCAAAATGAAGCAAGTAAATTCTGAACTTTTAGAAGAAATAAAAATGCCTTACCCGACGACCCTCGTGAATTGCGGAATTCTCAGTGAACTTGTAATTTAGCCGAGATTGTTCTGCTAACGGCAGAAGAATGTTATAATGTATAATTACAACCGGTCTCGTTAGGACTGCTACGAGGGCTTTTGTGTAAAAGTACGAGTACTCCACAAGTTTGTTGGTGCCCTGATACCCTACCGTTTGTGTTGTTTCTAACTTAGGGTAGTTCGTTTTGAACTTTAAACACTGATCTACATAAATATTGAGAGAAACAATAAGTGAGCATATCTTTTTTTTGTTAAAAATGAATACGCACTAGTAAGAAGTTCTGTGTTGCGGGGGACTTTATACACATATATTAAACGGACACAAAGGACACCCAGACTCAGAACAACAATTTGTGGATCACAACTCGAACCCACAACATCCAGCGCAGTAGGAAGCGGCGAGGTGACCGCTTACGCAATCCGTGCAGTCTAAAAATATCTTGGACCCAAATATGTTTGTTTTACTATGGCATGAGGAGGCAAACGAGCAGACAGGTCACCAAATGGTAAGTGACTACCGTACGTCCATGGTCACCCGTAACTCAAAGAGTTGAGTGAGTCTCCTCTCCAGAATCAGGGTTAGTGGGTGTTTGGGATCTAGTGACCTCACTCACTCAGTGAAAAGCAATTTAAAACCTGCTCATCACCGATTTTCTGTGAGACTGTATCATCACTGCGATCGACCCGGCCTATTTTTGCAAAAGCCTGGGTCTCACACGGATTAAATTATTACGCCGTAATTGTGAAAGACGTCCGTGTAGTGACGGATTAAGAATACGGAATGTCACTACCCCAATTCATCCCGTGGGTGTCGTAAGAGGCGACTAAGGGCGCAAAACAACGCAGGACACCAGCACTGCAAAAAGAAGGAAAACTTGACACAAACCCTTTACCAACCCGTCTGGCCAGCGTGGTATAGTGGGCCAAAACCTTCTTTCTAAGGAGAGGCCTATGTCCAGCAGTGGACTATTAAAGGCTGTTGATGTGATGATGTGATGAATTGTGAAAGAAAAACTTGTGGGGTACGATACATCACAAGTTTTTTTACTGTATTTATCTTTTTGTTGTAAACTTTCCCAAATCTTATTCCGTTTGAGCATTCTTGAAGATTTCTTTGTTGCCACAATAAGCTTTACAAAACTAAAACTTAAAAAACTTTGGCCGAGACTGTGGCTAAAGTTGAAACGTCTGCAAAATTCTTATACTTTTTTAGGTATTTATTGACATATTTTTTAGCTGATTCATTCTTCTTTTATAATATAATAGAATTTTATTTGCGTTTCTTAGTCAAAGATTACCCAAATTATATTTCAATACACAGCGGCTATCTATTTTATGTCAGTCGGTATTTTTGGTTGGGCGTCCCACTTTCTGTTCAGTATGCCTATTAATTTCAAATTTGTGTATATTTATAAATTAGGTAATCTTAAATCAACCTTTAAAAGCTTTTAAAACCTAGAGAGAAAATATCAAAGAGATCTTTTCTCCCTGGGTCTTAAAATGCGTATCATACAAAAACAGATTGTGAATAAAAACTCAATATTAAATTATATTTTAGTATGAAATATTTTATATTACTGAAAATAGAAATGAAAAAACACAGAATTTTTTTTGGAGCTTAATTGTTTTTAAACTGTTAAACGCCGTTACTGTTTGCAAACTTTTATTCAATGCATTTTAAAATTTATATTTTTATTATTTAAAAAATATACACAAAGATGAAAACTTTTCATTATGAACTTTTCTATAAAATGTTTTAAAAAAAAACTTTAGATAGCGACTATAAAGCTCAGCCACATTTGCAATACTTAAATGATTACCTTCGCAGCTGTTATAGTACCCTAGTACATCTGGGAATAAAAATATGCTTGTGTGAATATGCTCGTACAGCTGACATAGCATGTTTAAACATACTCTTCCAATGATTTATGTGCTCCTAGTACTGATGGGAATAAAAGTCAACCCTTTAGAAAACTATGTAGGTAGATAGATATACTTGTCTTGGAATGTATGATCCCTTTTGGGCTTAAGGGTGGATTATTATAATTAAGAAATTCAGTAGAATGTAGGCGCATTGAAGTCAATTATATATTTTTAAAAGTTAATTACATATTGCCAATTTGTATAAAAAAAAAAACTCAAAGAACGTTGTTGTTTTTTTAAATGAGTTGATTTTATTTATTATTATTGCATTAGTCAAGAAGATCCTAGGTAATATTCTAACTAAAATTACTAAAATGCGAAATTGAGCTTTCTTATTTATTTGGTCGGTACGCCATGATTTTAAGAATAACTGAAAATCAATCAGTTATTAATCTATTATTAACTTAAAACATTCCTGCCATTTTTCACGAACTTGGGTAAATTACCAATTGAAACGGCGAATATAGCGTAGTTTAAAATTAATATTACCAACATGCCGTACAAATAGAAAATAATTTATTAAAATATTTGCACGCTGCTACTGCGTCGCTACAGTGCAGGCTCTATTGAACAGAAAGCTTGGAAATTGAACATTTCTGGCTTGATGCGCGCCTGGTACGGACGAGTAACCAGCCAAGTGGATTATGTTTAATACGCAACTTTTTTTTTACTTGTCTTTTCTGCGTTATTGTCGTGTTTGTCGAAGTTCCTTGCGTTTATCTACAAATTAATTTCTATATACGAGTATCTTTAATAAAATTATGGAAATGGATTTTACAAATGATTTGTTTTTAAGCGTGTTTTTTCTACTGCACGGATGGCGTAGTGGTTTAAGCGGTCACCACGCCGCTTTCTACTGCGCTGAGAGTTGTGGGTTCGATCCCAACATGGGACACCACTTTGTGTGATCCATAAATTGTTGTTCTGAGTCTGGGTGTTCTTTGTGTCCGTTTCATGTATGTTTTTAAAGTGCCCCGTGACACAGGATATAAATTCCTAATGCGGAAGTTGTCTTTTTAAAAAAAATCAGAAAAGAAATCAGATATACAATTAGGTGTTTTTTTGCAGTAAGATAATTTATCTATAAAAAATGTTTATAAATCTAATTATGTTTTACCGCGAACACGTAACAGATACTACAAACGTTTAAACATTTTTACCAGGTTCCACTTGAGTAATTAGTAATTATAGACCGTAGAACCCAAAGTTAAAACTTTTAAGATTTATTTAAATGTACATTTTCTACTGTTATGATTTCGTAATTGAAAACTTAAAATTGTTTGCAGGCAGAAATATGGTCAGTGTTCATTGCGATCCTGCGCAAGAGTGTCCGCAACCTTCAGGCATGCACAGATGTTGGGCTCATACACCATGTGCTTCAGAGGCTGCCTCGCGCCGAAACTGTCGTCGCCGGTAAGTACACTGTCACACGAATACTTTAAACAAACAAAACATATTTTTATCCAATAAATTTAAATGTATACTGCAACTGTAAAGTGAATACTTGCGGTAAGTGGTAGTTGATTATAAATTTTGTAAACTCCCTTAAATTAAAATCATTCTGAAAATCCTTATTGTGATTGAAAACATTATTTAATTATCAAATGTTAGTTTTATGCTGTCCTAGTACATGTACAAATCCAAATTTTAACACTCCGGTTAATGCTCAGAAAGGAATTTAAAAAGTTACCCTTTGCCTACTTTGACAGTCCCGCTCCCTGAATTTACACCTCTGATAAATTATTATATCCTAGTACTAAAGAAAACTTTAAGAAGCTTTTAAGACACGTATGTTTTACTCAAACAGTTCAAATGTACTAGTATTATTCTAGAACAATTATATACTATTCTCTTAAGTATGTTTAATTATGTGTTTAGTTTAATAGACCTTAACCAGAAAATAATAATGATAAACATTATTATGAATATCTCAAAAGATATAAGCGATAAATCTAAAACAATTTAAGCGCTGGCTTATTTCTTTCTCATGAATATCTTCCATACTGTAAAAAACTCGTTATTGTCAACAATATCCGTTATGGTAAACTCCCGGAGACTCGTGACGCATAATATCATACCAAGCTCCTTAACAAGGAATGCTCCGTGCGTTCGTTCTGATATGTCGCCGGCTATTTTTATATTTTCATATGAGCATCTTGAATCCGCTGTTACCTTATTTTTTAATAATTCCTTTAACACGATTTTCCATGCGTATCAAATAAGGAAGAACGTTGCTTCGAGTGAGTGACTTTATTAACTAAACGAAGTTAAAGTGAGAGATTTATACTCGTAACAACATTCGAACTTAGAATTATAGAGTTTTAGGAGTAACGCTAATCATCACATCACATCAACAGCCTTTAATAGTCCACTGCTTGACATAGGCCACTCCTTAGAAAGGAGGTTTAGGCTTACTATACCACGCTGGTCAGACTTTGTTGGTATAGGGTTTGTGTAAAGTTTTCCTACTCTTTGCAGTGCTGTTGACCTGCGTAGCTTGTTTCCTTAGTCGGCTCTTACGACACCTACAGGATGAATAGGGGTGGTATTCTTAATCAGCCACTACACGGAAATATAGATAAGGTAGTTGAAGGATTATTACTATTCAGTAAAATAACAAGTATTTGATTTTGAATTTGAGTTTTCTGATAAAATTCTACTATACAGAAGTTGTAAACTAAACTATTACTAATTATTTCTTTCCTCTCCAGCTGAGTGTTAGGAAGAATTACTAGTATTTTTTTTTATGTTAGCGGAGTCAGACGACCAGACGGGTCACCTGATGGAAAGTGACCATTGCCGCCCATGAACGTCTACAACTCATTAGTCACAAACGAGTTGCCGGCCTTTTAGGAAGGAGTGCGCTCTTTTCTTAAAGGTTGTATCGGTCCGGAAATACCGCAGACCGTTCCACAGATTGGTTGTGCGAGGCAAAAAGTGTCTCGAAAAGCTATCCGCTCGTGATTCATTTCAAAACCAAAACAAAAAATATTAAATCGGTTATTAAAAAAACAGGTCACCAGAGATTACTCTGAATCATATGTAAGACGGCGTCTTTCTACCTACTTCGTTCAATGTGCACTATTGTCTATGCTATGCTACCCTGGTACCTTTCACCCTTGATTTTGCACCCTATTTTTTGCCGCCACCTTTAGCGCGGAACGGGGTCACTCTACCTACCCTAAAAAAAATGAGTCGGTGTGTAAATTTTGCAGATCTGTATTCGGCACGACGCAAGCGTGAATATTCACGCCATAGCAATTCGTCGCTATGTCAATTTTGTTACGAATATAAAAGGGTTATTTGGACCTTCTATTGTTACAAAATTTTCCAAAGTGAATAATAAAAATCGACAATAATGCATTGTAAACCAAAACATTTCGGGTACAAATGGCCTATCACACCTGGATTAATTATTAAGTTGAAATTGTTCGCTATAGACACCGACAACAATCTAGTGGTCTGGAGTACTACATTTTAAAGAACTAAAGATATAGAGAAAATATGTCCTTAACGGTTCACAATATGCAAACTAAATTATCCTAAAAGTGCATTTTAAGGTCAAATAAACAACATTGTTTAATCATAAGAACAGAAATCGTAATTTATTTTTGTTATAAATAAACTTAATGACAAGAGCTAAGCGCCTACTTCCTTGCTATTTTTGGTACCCTAATAAGATTTAGACTATACAAACATAAAAGGACTGTTTATTTCCGATCTTGAATCTTAAACGAAGGAACTGTGGGTATTTTGAGAAAGGCGAAATATTTGATTCAATTAATTAATTCGATTTAATCTCAAAATAAATCACTTCCTTAGCTACACAAATAAGAGAAAATAAAGATCTGCTATAGACTTGTTTACTAAAAGGTTCAAGATCTTCTTGCTACTACTGTTACACTTACAGAAAAGCGAACTAAATAAAACAGGAATATGCCCTTTTCAAAACATTGTAACTGATATATCTAAAAAACATCTATCCGTTTCATGTCTCTCAATTAAAGGTGAAAACAATTTCACATGGCTTTTACGTTGTGTTTAGTTTACCCATCACCTTATTTAATTTTTATTTTATTTATTTAATTAGTAGGAACTATTGTAATAAGAATCAGTTTGGTCAGCGCATCGCTTGAAGCGTCTTGTGTGGTGACCCTTAACCTATACAAGTGCGTGAAAACCTTCGAGTACCTCTCACCGAGTTAATATAACTAAAACTAACATCACTATTAGACAAGACCTGTTCTTGTCGTTGCTGGTCAGAATGATGTTGTGGGTTGACTATCGCTCCGAAACCCAAAACGTACCGCCCCGCCTTAATGCAGTTGAAAGCAAAAAAATGACAGAGAATAATACAAACCAATGCAACTTCTTTACGTTCTGTTCTCTTAGTAGTTTAAAAACGTTTATTTATTTTCGTATTGTTAAGACATCAATTAAGGAAAATTAATTAATTAATTAATAATTAATTAATTATTAATCATTAATTAATTAATTAATCTAAGGAGAGGCCTATGTCCAGCAGTGGACTATTAAAGGCTGTTGATGTGATGTGTGATGTGAAGACATCAATTTTAAACAATGGTTTTTTTTAATGAAAGTTTATTTAATTTTACCTACCTTGGTGTTCGGACATAATAATATGTATCTACATAACTATGTGTAACTCATTCTATTAGCATTAAAATAAATAATATATAAGCACAGTTGAAAAAAAAAGCAGATCAAGAAATATATATTTACACTTTCGCCTTTCGACTACTGTCCCTTTGGACGGCTTTACAAACTCTTCAACCACTTTGTTATCCTAGTACTTGTGAGAAAAATGAAACTTCTCCGCGTTCCTGGTGCCTAATATAATAAAAAAATATTTCATTTAAAGAACATAATAAAAAACCTTTAGTATTTTTTTAGTTTCATGTTGGTTTTCTATAAGTTAAAAATGTTTAACTCAAGTATCTGACTCTGTATTGCAATCACCAATAAACGAATAGAAAAGAATGGAATCGAATAAATTGCGAAAACCAATAACCAACAGTATTGATGCTATTCTTAGCATCGCTGTATAATAGTTTCCGTGCTGGATGTCTAGAAAACCATCGCGTTATTAAAACCATCCATGGATATGACAGCAATGTCCTATTTACCTCAAATCCACCATGATTAGTCTCGGACTGTCAGAAATAGCATTCTTTATGGATAAATATTTTATAGTATTTACTACTGAACGTCCATTTCGCTGCTTGTGTCTGTTCTGAAGAAGATAATAGGCTAACAGGAAATCAATGTTAGGTCACTACCTAATACGAAAGGTGATTAATGTTGGCGAAGTAATGATAGCCTACACTTTTAAAATTATTCGAGCGTTAATGATTACTTTTAAGATATTCGTTAAAACAGATAATGATGCTGATGGCCACATCACTTAATCAAATTTCTGACATTACTTAAAGCTAAGCCTGAATAAATCAAATCTCCCGTAATAAAATTGTAGGTGTTTTAAGTATATATATATACAGCCTTGGCCAAAAGTATTAGGCACCCTACATTTTACTTAAAATAAAGGAAAAAACAACTTATACTTTTTGAATGTATTTATAACCATTAAAATTCACAAAAAAAAATGAAAATAACTTAAAATCTAGTCGGGTCCACCTTTGGATTTAATTACTGCACTAATTCTAGCTGGCATGCTGCGTACAAGCTTAGTACAATCCTCCCTTGTAATGGCATGCCATTCTTGTACTACCTAACGCATTTTTAATGCCGTTTTCGATGTGATACTATGCTCTTTAATCTTGCGCTTCAAAATGCTCTAAAAATGTTCAATTGGGTTCAATTCTGGTGACTGCGCTGGCCAATCAAACAAGTCAAAATTGTTTTCAGTAAACCAACGCATCGTAGTCGCTGAATTATGACAAGCTGCATTGTCTTGCTGGAATATAACTCCCTCCAAGTTGGTATCGCCGAAAATACTCCTTAGCGAAGGCATAAGCGCAGTTTCGAGCACTTTTATGTACTTTTCGCTGTTCATACGACCTTCCCAAACAAACATTTCGCCAACCCCATCAGTAGCCATGCAGCCCCAGATCATTATGCTGCCTCCTCCATGCTTTACTGCCGGTACGACGCAATCTGGATGGTATTCTTCGCCCACACGTCGCCTCACGAAGGTCACACCTGGCGTTCCAAATATCTGTAAAAAAAAGAAAAAAAACACTTTTTTTAAACTGCCTTAACTTTTATTATTTTAGGTAAATAAATAACTGCCCATGATTATTAATAATCATGGGCAGTTATTTATTTACCTCAAAGTTAGATTCGTCAGACCATACCACATTGGCCCAATCTTCCTCAGTAAAATGTTGATGCCGTAGAGCCCATTCAAGTCGTTTTCTTTTGTTAGCTTCTGA